GAGAAGAAATGACAATACAAAGAAAATCTGGCAGCTGGACATGGTGACTCAGGCTTGTAATCCCAGCACTTTGGGAAGCCAAGACGGGCAGATCGCTTGAGGTCAGGAGTTTGAGATCAGCCTGGCCAACATGGTGAATCCCCCTCTGTACTAAAAATACAAGAATTAGCTGGGCATGGTGGCTCGCACCTGCAATCCCAGCTACTCTGGAGGCTGAGGCAGGAGACTTGCTTGAACCTGGGAGGTAGAGGTTGCAGTGAGTCGAGATTGTGTCACTGCACTTCAGCCTAGGTGACAGCGAGATTCCATCTCAAAAAAAGAAAGAAAGAAAATCTGGCTGGGGCAGTGAATTCCTAGGGGAGTCACTAAGAGATATGTGAGGAGGAGGTGTAAAACAGGTGGAAGATGAGGGTTACTTCATTGAGTATTTTTATTCTGGGTCATTGTAGCCTCTATTTCCAAGTCTCTGGTGATAAGGGCTATTTTCTCACCCTGGCATGGAGAGGGTGCCCCTCCCAGAGGAATTATCGTTGCTTGCTGCATGCAGAAAGCAACAGGTTCAGCTCATTCTTTCTGCAACTAACATTTCAGCAATGTTTTCAACTCAAAATAATCAATATACCAATCTGGTGTATTTTGGAATAGTGCATCCCTCACTCCTTCACTATCTTTTCCTCACAGAGTCACATTATTTCAAGAATCTAAATTGTTTAACATGAACTAAGAGACACCAGTTTAAACCCTGAAGCTATTATGTGTTTTTTATTAATGGGTTCTTTTGAATTTTTATGACTTTCATGTCTTAGCATAAAATGGTTGCTCCCTGTGACATATGTAACATTTATAGATTCACCTATTAGCCAGCTACAATTTTATAGCTGAACATACTCTCTCTAATGAAATTATATGAAAATATTTTATTTTACTGAACATCTATTCTAAGTTGTCGTTCAAGATTATCTTGTTCTTTAGTGTGAATGACAACTCTATATTAGCAGTTTTTGGTTAATACGATTGTTACTGTTCTAAAGTCCCAATTCCACATAACTGTATTGATCATTTACTTTGTACAAGGCCTTGTGCTAGGGTAATGGTTGATTAAAGGGGCATAGTTTCTATCTTGAAGAAGCTTTCTCAGGCCAAGCACGGTGGCTCACACCTGCAATTTCAGCACTTTGGGAGGGTGAGGCAGGAGGATTGCTTGAGCTCGGGAGTTCCAGATTGGCCTAGACAGCATAGTGAGATGCCCATTTCTTTTCTTTCTTTCTTCTTTCTTTTTTTTTTTTTTT